ATTAAAGGTCACATATAATAATTTTTTTGAAATTGGTTTAAGTGAAAAAAAAAAACTGCTTTTTCCCTCATTGTTTATTGGAAAAAAAAAAGATTCTTTATTCTTCACTGATTGAAAAGTTTTTATCGTCTGTTAAGGGAATATTTTTTTTTCAATGTTAAACAACTTTGATCTTTTTTTTTTTCATTTTTATTTTTTCTCTTGTCAGTTTCAGTGCTTAAATTTTAATTTTAATGCACTTCAAGAAGAAAAGTTTTCTTCTTTTTGATGCTGGTGTTTTGTTGGTCATTTGAGAAAAAAGAAACACTGAGGCTGAAGACTGATATCAAAAAAAAGAGCAGATTGATACAGTTTTTTACAGGTATGAAGAATCTGGACCATATAAGGAAAAAGAGGTTCCAGTAAATGTGACACGTTACGTTGTTGAGGGACTTCAACCGTATCAGGTAAATCGTTAATTGCTTCTACAATCGATCGGTTAGTTAATGGAGAGGTTTTTTGTTTCAAACTACGGTTTTTAGTGGTATTTTGATTCATCGAGTCAGTTGTTGGACAGAACACTGTTGTCAGTTTTAACTGCTGCATTTTTTTTAGATCTATGAATTTTTTGTGCTTGCAAAAAGTGCAATTGGTCGTGGATCAGCATCAGCAGTTCGAGAAGTTCAAACAGGTGAAAGCCCACCGTCAAGTCCACCACGAAAAATTGAAGCACGTCCACTGAACAAAAATTCGATTATTATTCATTGGGAGCATCCAGAAAAATCGAATGGAAGAATTACTGTAAAAAAAATTCTAGACTTTTTCAAAATAAATTTCTTTGTGTAAAACTATCATTTTTTTGACGTATCTCCTACAAATAGCATTTATGGTTTTTCTGTTTAGTTTATTTGCACAACATGTTTTTCACTGATAGCTATGAATGTAATCGGCATCAAAAAACTATTATGATCGCTCTTTTTTAGGGTTATAAAATTTACTTTACAAATCTGAACAAATTTACACCATTTGAAGCTTGGAATCAAGTAAGTCAAACAACCTTATAAATTGTTTATTTGTTTTACTTGTGTAATACTGGTTATCTGATCACCTTTTACTAGTATTTTTTGACAGTTAAATAATGATTCACATCAAAATACTTTGTAAAAATCTATATTTTTGTATTAATAAGTCGTTGTTCTTTTTCTTAGTTGGTTAATGAAATTGTAATTTCTACAATTTTTTTGGTTTTTTTTTAGCGACTCACAGATAAGCAAACTGAAACATTGTACAATTTGGAAACAAATCGTACTTACTACATACTAATTCAAGCACTAAACTCAAAAGGTGCTGGACCATTGTCACAACTGGTTACCGTTATCACCAGACATGGATGTAAGTAGATTATCAATTTCTGATTATTATGACTTATTAGATGTTTGTTTTTTTCTTTTTGCTTTCTTTTTTTACGAAAGAGGGCAGGAAGTACGAGGTAATTTGGATATTCATTAATTATTTGTAGTGCCTGGACAACCAATGGAATTAACTGCAAAAGCGCTGGATGCATACCGGATACAGTTGAAATGGGAAAAACCGATTCATACGTTAGGTATTGTCGGTTATTCCATTCAGTATAATTCATCGGAAAAACAGTATCCAGAAATACTGTTAAATGCGCCAACAGAGAGTCACCTTATCAGCGGACTTGATGCTAATACATACTATTCATTTCGGTATATTGTCAGATGAATATTTATTGTTCTGTTTTATAGCAAATGTTTTTTTTTTGGTCGACAATTTTTATTTATGTGTATATTTTGTAAGCCAAAAAAAAAAGATATTTAAGAAATTTGTTCAATCAAAGAAGAAATTTGTTTAGAGTAGCAGCAATAACCGGGCCGGGATTGGGTGCATATTGTGAATATGTTACAGCAAAAACACACCAAAGTGGTAAGTAGTATTATTCTCTATTTATAGATATGTATATTTTAATTCGTTACTAAATCTCTCTTTTAACTATTACCTTAGTTTTTTTAATATCAAAAACATTTACGACTTATAAGAACCAAGGAAAAGTAGTAAAAAATACTGCTCATACGTATGTATAATATTATATGTACCGCATTTTATCAATGCAGTAAATCTGTTTCCGCTTAATTTAAAAATAGCGACATATATGATCGAGAATAAAAAAAATTGTTTGATCAAATATTGGGAAGTTAAAGAAAAATAGTTTCGTAAACTATTTAATAACCATATTGAAGAAAGGAGAAAAAAAATTAGAAAAAAAAACTATATGCCAAATTTGTTGCCCTCTAAATGCTGCAGTTTGGTTTTGTTTGAACAACAGCATCAATAGCTTTTTTTCTGATCATATATAAGATGTATTAAAAAGTTTTTTTTACAATTAATATTACATTTATTCCCCTTTTTTTGTGTCTTTTTAGCTTTTTAATTGTCTTTTTTTTTAGCATAACTAATTCTTTTCAAAAAATCTTTTTCGAAGGAAAAGCAATATGAACAGTTAAGTTTTGTTGGTTTTTTTAGACAGCACACTGAGAGTAGGTAACTATGTTGGTCATGTAAAGGTTATGATTGTTACTGATGTTGTTATTGCTCGTTGTAGTCGTTGATATTCTGTTGGTGTAGTTGGCTGCTTGATGCTTTTCTCTTTTTGGTGTTGTTTGATGTTTCTATTTTTTTTTTTGATGTTATTGTTGGTTGATCAGGCAGCTTATTTTGGTATAATTTTGTGCCAACATGCAAAAATTCAGTGCCTACTGGAGCTCCAGAGATTGTGCAATTGTATGCTGTATCGTCTCGATCATTACTGGTAATATGGCAAGCACCAGAAGAAAAAGATCGTAATGGTGTATTGACCAACTATATTATCAAATGGCATCCTGTAAACAAACAGGATACATCGAAAGTTACAGCAGGTTCCAGTGAAGAATCTAATGACTATGAAAATGCTGATGTCGATGATGACGACTATGACGACACAGATTATAATGACAGTGATAATAGCAATAGCGAAAAAAAGTTAAATGATCAACAAAACCCTATACAGGGGTTACAACAGATGAAAAAAGCTGCCGATAATACATCAGCACTCATTGAACACTTAAATCCGTATACCATCTATGAAGTAACGTTGATTGCCGGAACAGAAAAGGGTTATGGTCCAGAAAGTGAACCACAACGAAATCGAACATTTGGTGACGGTTAGTTACGTTTATGATTCATTATCACATTTTCAATAACAGAATGTCGCTAGCTTTTACTAGCAAGGTCTAAGTGTGATGTGCGTGATATGTTTATGTTTTCCTCTTGGGGTCCTACTGTTTTGCTGTCACTTTGTCTTATGAAGCTATTCTATGTAACTAATATTTTTTTTTCGTAATTTCTGTTACTTTGTTACAGCGCTAACTACCCGTGTAACTGCGTTTATTCTAGCAAGTTATTCAAAATTTTTCTCCTTTTTTTTTGCCTCTCTTTCTTGTCTTAACCTACTAAGACGTTAGTGCTTCATTAGCAAGACAGTTACCAACAACTATCACTGCTTTGTATGTATAAGCAAGTATTGTTTCTTGTTAATCATCTCCTTTTCTAATGTGTATTCATATGTGTGTGTGGGTTTTTGCTTAAAATTTGCATGGTTTGTGGTTTGAAACTTATCAAAATTTACCCCAATTTTTTTCTTCGTTTTTTTTTCTTTTCTTTTCTAGGAAAAAAAGTTTGCTTGCTTTTATTTGTTGTTATGATATTCGTTGCCTATCGTTGTTGCCGTTTATTGTTCATCATACACTTATGGTGCTGTTAATTTAGTTTATTTTTATGTTTTTGTGCGTGCGTGCCTGTGTGTGTGTGTGTATGTGTGTGGACTTTTTTCTGGTGAACATCTAACAAAACTGAAAAATATAATTGAGGATAGCTTTAAAAAAAAGGAAAAAAATTAGGGGAGAAGCAAAAAAAAGAAAACGAAACCGGAAAAGCTGGGAGAAAAAAAGAAATGAGGGTTTGCGGAAGTAGCAATGACGGAAATATTTATTGTTGTTGTTGTTTTTTGTTGCCCGTGTCGCTGTTGTTATCGTTGTCAGTACCACTGCTTGTTTCGTGGTTATTTGCTGCCGTTGTTATTGTTGCTGTTTATAGTGGTGGTGGTAGTGGTGGTGATACTGCTGCTGCTATTCCTGCTGCTGCTGATGCATTCTTATCACTCCAAATTTATTCATTTTGCAACTGCTTAGATTTTTTCTAACTGAGAGTCTAATTGCAGTAAGTTTTTTTTTAATTTTTAGTTATGCTAGTGAAATATGCAAACAAAAAGTTTAGACTATAATTTTTTTATCTTTTCTGATACATGACTGATAGTAGAAACAGGGAGCATAAGAATTAAAGAAAGAAAGATAAAAAAGATTAAAAGAGAAAGACTAAAGCTAAACTGAAATTAACAAAATCAACTAGTTAATTGATACAGTTAATAAGCAAATAGAGCAGTTCAGTTATAAATGCTAATGCTTATTAAATTTTCCTGTAATTTGTGCATTTAATCGGCGGTTAACAAATTTATTGTTTGATTTTTCTATTCTCACAAGTTTTATTTTTTTTTCTTTTTCAAAAACTAATTGTGCTAGTCTTGGTTTTTTGGAAATGATTAACAAATTAAGTATTTAACGAAAAAAAAAACACAAATACTATTTCTATTTGCTTACCAAATAACGTTTGTTTTTTTCGTTCTTCAGACCCAAACTATCGAAGAGGACCCGGTAAGAATTCTTCTATTTTTTCACTGTTTGCTTCACTTTTTTCTTTTTTCACGGTTGTTTTTGATGGTATATTTCATGTTTTGTTCTATTTCGCTTTTTTGGTTCATTTTGATTCATTTTTAAATGTTATGCAGTTTTTGGTCTTTCTTTTTTTTCTTTTTCAATTTTTTCCTGTATCACCGTTTGCACATCAACGCATATAATTGCATGAGTAATTTTCAGCCTTCTGCACCCATCCTGCTCCTTGTATATGTGATTGCTTTTCAGTGATTTCAGCCATTACTATCGACTAAAAAGAAATATTGGGTTCAATTGGCAAGGGGAGGTGAAAGGGTACAGAGCGATAGCAGTGGGAAATGCGGTAAGATAACGATGGAATAAAGATAGGAAGTGATTAGAAAGGCGGGGATTTTTCCGCCAAAGATGGAATCAACAATAGCAGTTCTGCGAGTTTTTTTTTTTTTTTTTTTTT